CTTTAGCTTGCCAGGCAAGCACCTATTTTACTGGGCTATCTCCCCGGCCCAGCTACAAATATTTAAATACTGGTATGGTTAATGTAACTAATTATTACTATCATACTTTTTTTTTTGGTGGAACCGGGGATTGAACTCAGGCCCTTGCGCTTGCCAGGGAAGCACTTATTCTACTAAGCCATGTCCCTGGCCCCCACTATCATACTTTTATAATTATAATTATTTTAGTAACCTACATACTAAAAATATATTTTTAGGGAATTGTTCTTGTAAGTCTTGAAGTATCTTGGGGGGAGGTAAGCAAAAAAATAGTAAAATTTTTAGATTAAATTCCCTACATTAAAGGTCCGATCTTGTGACATTCATTTGTCTTGCTTACCCCTATTTTCATAGTCCCTGGTTCCCTGACACAGCAGATTTCAGCAAATATTAATTGAAAAATCAATTATAAATATCTCATGCAGGATTTACTATGTTTAGTGATGCTGCCTGCTTTAAAATTAAAGTGGGGCTGGGGATGCAGCTCAGCAGCATAAACGCCTGCCTGTCAAGTTCAAGGTCCTGAGTTCAATTCCCAGTACCACAAAAAATAAATAAAAATTAAATTAAATTAAAGCAATTTATAAACATTATATACTACAAACTTGCACAATTAAAAAAGGAAGGGGGGCGCCAGCCAGATAACTCAGCAGACTAAAGCGCCTGCTTAGGCAGAGTGCAGAGGTCAGGATTTGAGCCCCAGCATGCTGTGCTGGCCCCACCCCCGGGGTACACTGAGACAGCGAAGGAGACAGGGCATGGTGGCATGCGCCTGTAATCCCAGCTCTTGGGAGGCTAAAAATAGGAGAATCACTACAAGTCTGATCTATGTAGTGAGACCTTATAGACCCTGTCCTAAATACAGGAAAAAAAAAAAAGAGAGATGAATAGAAGAGCTGTGATGAGTCACCACAGAAGGATGGCCAAGTGGGAAACATTAGCCTTTGGATACAGGCCTGTCTCCAGCGGAGGATGAGGAACGGGTGTTACATCGCCTCAGATGTCAAAGCTCAGTACTTCTTGCAGCTGCCTGCTCCTTGATACCTCTGGCTGCCATTATGTGGGCAGGAAGTTAAAAAGACAAAACAACACTGAGGGTGGTGCACTTAAGTACTGTGAATCCCATTTCTACATGACAAACTCCAGAGAGGAACAATCCCATCTCTCAGCCCCTTTTCATGGGCCAGGCTTCACACCATCGCGGAGGATACAGAGTCCGGATGGGTCACATGGTGTCCTGATCCCATGTTGTAGGATATGTTCTGTGAGATTTTGCTTATGAATTTCTACTCCTTATCAGTACTGGGATTGGTTCCCTTTTGTTTCTGTTTCTTGTGTTTTCAGTGCTAAGGACTGCATTTATGGTCTCTCACATGCCAGGTAAGCACTACAATACAGAACTGCATCATCAGGCCCTGTTCCTTTTGTCTAAAGTGCTCATTTTGTTACAGGAAATTCCTACTGCATGCCACACAGAAGTTTTGATGTTATTTTTAAAATGGGTCATAATTGTGATATATATTTCATATCTCCAAAGAGAGAGACTAAGTTTTTTTTTTCACTGAGATTATAAATAATACACATATTTCCCATAATGCCTACATTCTCCATAAAAAGAGATGCAGGGTGAGGGAAGAAGAGCCAAAGGATTAAAAAATCAACCAGAATGTTTGACAGCTAGGTGTGGTGGCACATACCCATAGTTCCAGAGCCTGGGAAGCTGACGCAAGAAGATCAACATGAATTCCAGCCCACTCTGGGCTACAGACTATATAATGAGACCCTGCCTCAAAAAACCAAACCACCAGTCGGGTATTGGCTCAGTGGAATACGCTTCCCTGGCAAGCGCAAGGGCCTGAGTTCAATCCCCGGTTCCACCAAAAAAAAAAAAAAAAAGAACAACTACAAAAAAACTCCCAACCAACCAAACAAACAATATTGGTATTATACATGTACCAACTCCCTACAAGTAATGAAAACACTCTGTACTATAAACATGTACTCATAAATACATAAATAAAAAATTAAAACAAGCAACAACACCTATAGCTAAAGTTTGAAAGTATATTTTAAAAATAGTATTAAGTATATATCTGAGTTTTT